TCTTCAAGGCAATGGTATTTGAGATTTCACAAGGAGGTGATCTCATATGATTTTACCATGATCAATGAAGACCATTGCATTTATGTGAAGAAGTCCAATGGGATGTTTGTAATTCTTTCTTTTTATGTGGACGATATTTTATCAGCCGAAAATAATTTGGAGTATTTGAAAACTATGAAGTCATGGCTTTCAAAGTCATTTGACATGAAAGATATGGGCGAGGCAGACTATATCCTTGGAGTTAAGATCCAAAAAGACAGTTCCAAAAAGTTATTGAGTCTATCTCAAGAAACTTATATAAAGAAAATTTTGGAGCGTTTTCGCATGAATAGTTGCAAATCCATGGATACTCCTATAGCGAGAGGTGAAACTTTAAGCCTTGAAATGTATCCCAAGACTAAAAATGAAAAGGAAGACATGTCTCGAGTTTCATATTCAAGTGTTGTCGGGAGCTTGATGTACGCTATGATGTGTACTAGCCCAGACATTTGTTATGCCGTAGGTCTGGTTAGCAGATATCAATCCAATCTTTGAAAAGATCATTGGAAAGCTGTGAAGAGAATTCTTAGATACCTGAAAAGGGAACTGCAGATTATTCACTATGTTATAGTGGAAATGATTTATACTTAAGAGGATATACAGATGCTGATTGGGCTGGTGACCGGAATGATAGAAAATCAACATCCGATTATGCCTTCTTATTTAATGGTGGTGTTATATCATGAAAAGTAAGAAACAAACCTGTACAGCCCTTTCAACGATGGAAGCTGAGCTCGTGGCTTGTGCATCTGGAGTACAAGAAGTTGTTTGGTTGAAGAGATTCTTTGAGCATTTGGATATTACAAAGAACTCTCAGGATCCCATGACTCTATATTGTGATAGTCAAGCGGCTATTGCATATACAAAAGATCCTAAGTATCACAGCAAGACCAAAAGACATTGACATCAAGTATAACTTTGTGAGAGACATGGTAGCAAGTGGAGAAATAAATTTACAATACGTTCCTACACGAAGCATGATAGCTGATCCTTTTACAAAGGCGATATCTAGAGACCTGTTTGAGAAACATGTTATGGCTCTAGGTTTGCGAATGATATGAACATATTTATGTATTGTAAAATGATTTTAGTATTATAATATGCTCATCAAAATTTGACTCTTGAATTTATGCTTATATCTCGTACGCATGTGATGAATGTTTTGTTGATAAAGTGTGTCAAACAAGTCGCGAGATGGGCTCTCTCACACGAGCAATCACCTCTTACATTAAGAATCGTGAAGAGATGAGACCTTATAGAACCTTGGATAATGCGAGGTTATATTTACTTGTAGAGGTCGGTCTTGACAACTAATCATACTTACGAATTTCACTATTCGATTATGACTTGTTTTGTAAGCCAGATGCAAGTTTCTCTAAGAAGATGGTTTGAGGATTATTAGAAACTCGGGTTAGACATTTGGAGGTGTCTAGACCAAGATCTGTACGGTGTTGAATGATTAAAAGAATAGGACACACACGCCAATATCAGGTGAGAACCTCGTAACATGTGTTTCATACCACGTGTGCTATCGACCATGGGATAATGGAAGAATGAATCCCTGCTTCTTCATTGTGTGAGATCCTAAAGAAGTTACATTAACTTTTATTAGAATACCCTTTGACCTTTTACTGTTTCTTGAAGTGCCAATCAGTGTTGCTACTTTAGCATGTTACTAATAGTCATGAGTGATTCGGCAATGCAGTGCATCTCTACGAAAGTAGTTGATTTGGAATAGAAAGATTCGAGTAGAAAGGGAAGACAAATAAATATTTTTTTTTTGTAATTTAACTTGTATTCATAGGTCGACCATTATACTTACCATGAGGGTATCAAATGTAATTATGAATACAAAGTTAAACATGAACTCGAGTTCACCTCTTTCGAGGATGAGGGATTAAATAACTAGCTACTGGAGTAGCAGGTGATGTCTGGGGTATAGCGAGTAATAAGATCATCATGATAGTAGTGAATCCTTTCCGAATGTGATCGGATTTATACATAGAGTTTAGAATAACCTTAACAGGTTTGAAACATATTATAGCTCTTGATGCTCGCAGGTCGCACGAACTACTTGTCTGTATGAATTAAGTGTGTCGTTTAATCATGATACTGGTTTGAGTTCAAGCCCATCATGAGCGAAGTGGGAGATGTTGGATATTGGATCCGGGTATCAGGTCGCTCCATGAGGGCTGGCCCAACCCATTTGAAAAAGAATTTTTTTTTAGAAGAGATAGGGTTTAAAATAACCTCTTTAAAGAGGTTACTACACATTTAAGTGTAGTGTGAGCAGTTTTTCCACTTTCTTCTTTTCTGTAAGATAACAGAGATAAAAAGTAAGAGTGGGATCAAAAATCTCTTCCCAATCAACACAAGAAGACATTTAGTTCGTGAAATTCTAACTTTGTTTCCAAGAGATTCAAAGTTCGACTTGGGGCAATTCTTTTGGTGGTGAGTTCAACAATTCTTCCGCTGAGTTGACAGGTACGCTAATGTTGTTCTCGCCCGCGATTATTCTCCATTACAAGAAGTGTTAGGCAAACTAATAGTTCAAACTTCAACACTTAATGCCACAAAATAAAACAGAAAGATCATATCAAACTTCGTTCTAAATTATCCAAAAATTAATTGAAAAACACTAAGATGATAGGATCTTAGGAGTCCTTTTCATATAAACTTCATCTTCTAAAAGAATACAGTATATAGTATTATTATTTTCTGATTGTTCTTACCACACGCCAAAAACATATCAGAGGCAACGGGATTATTACTGCCTAAATAAAGATGATGGGTAAACCAGCTTGCAAACTAAAGATGAGCAAAAACGAACTGATCAATACGCCTAACTATCCTTAATCTACTACCTACAGTGAAGCTAATCTACTCTGTATCGTTTTGACATTGTTGGGCATTTAATTATGGGAAAGAAGGTTAGATTTGTCCCTCTACTTTGGAAAATTATTCACGTTTATATACAATTCTACTATCAGTCCAAATCTATTCCTACCCTTAAGAAAGTAGACAAAAATATCTCCAACCCTAACGGATGTCCATGATTCAGCAACTAAAATGACACGGTGGACTCCATGTCACTATTTATTTTCCATCTGTAATAATAAATAACTAAACCCACTAAAATTAATCTTCTCCTTCTCGGCTAACATACTACCATTGCTGCAAATTCAAGGACTCAGGGGCGGATGCACGTACATCGAAGCGGTGCACGTGACACCGCTTTGATTAAAAATGCTGGTGTAAATGACATGCGAACAGTAAATTCTTACATATTGTCTGAAGTGACACCATTTGACAACGTTCAGGTGCTAGTTCAATGGTTAAGCCTTTTATTAAGATAGTAAAGGTCCAGGGTTCGATTCCCTGCATATGTGACTCTTTTTGGGGATTCGAACCTCAGACCTCCGCCACAGAATTAAGAGTACACACCAATGAGACAAAGGGTGATTTACAATATAAATGCAATAATAATTCTATTTAACACCTTTCAAGCGCTTAATTCAGAATAACTCCTTCTTGGATTTGCGATAAGTATTTGTGCTAGCTAATTGTGACACCGCTTACTAAAAGTTCTGCGTACGCCCCTGTTCAAGGCCCTTGTCCTGCTCCACAAAATTATTTTATAAATTTCCATTATTACCAGCCAGTGTTCGAACCACCACTCCAGCCGTCTTCTAGAAAATACCTCACCTTCTCTCCACCTAGAAAATCATCAGCAATCACTCATCGGAAATATCCACAAAAAAACTTCACTTGAAACCATATCTTTAAACACTACCACTCACTCATCAGAAAATCACCTCTCTTTTCTTCCATCTCTCGCTCCTCTTTAGTGGTCATAACTGGCCAGTAACACTCATGTTTCACAAAAAGAAGAAGAGCTAGATCCAGAAAAAAGAAATCCTCCATAAAAATTCATTTACCAGTGACCTCATATTTCTCTTTAATATTCCACCCAACCAACGGAAAAATCTTCTTTTGCTAAAAAATTTCTTTACTGCTTGAACATATTAGAACTAGTAAAATCTTGACGGAACAATCTTTTTCGCAAACAAAGAAGAATCAATCGGGTGAGACTCGTTTTTGAAATTTTTGATCTGTTTTGGATTGAATAAAACAAAGAATCTGACATTGGAATGCTGAAACTATTCAAAGCTGCAACTTGTTATTTAAATTAGAATTAGTTAAATCTTTGTGCCTTGAATCTGGAAAGTTAGAGCTCCGGTGATGAATTTCTTGTCATTTCATTTTGCCAGAAAGTTTGCTTGGATTTCTGATTTTGAATGGAATTGTGCTAAGAGAAGGATGTAAAAGAAAAAAATGAAAATAAAAAGAATAAAGTTGTAAAGAGAAATGAGTATAAACGGGAAGGGAGGGGTCAAAAAAAATTGGCATGGGTCAGAAAAATGAGTATGGGTCTCTACAATTCGGGTTGGTATTTGCACGGCACATTAATTAAGTGAGGGGTTCTACTGCCACGTTGGAAATTTGTTAGGGTTAGGGACGATTTTGTATACTTTACTAATGGTAGGCGTATATTTGGATCGAAAGTAGAAACGGATATAAACGTGACTAATTTTTGATAGGTTTAGGGACAATTTTGGCCTTTGTCCCTTAATTATTATCCAATATGCTAGCCGTCTTTTTCTGTCCCTTTGGTCTATTGGTGTTTTCTCTTCTGTATAAATTTTATTCTCTTTACAAAATTCAATGCAATCCCACTTATATGGCTCCATCATATTACAGATCTTTCAGCTTTCATACTTTTTTTTAAGAATATATATGTCCAGTGTTAACCTATCGGCTCATAGGAGCCATCGCCGTTATTTTTCGTCTGAAACATGCCCTTCTCGCTAATGGTCTTCATCGTGAAAAATGGGTCTGATGTGGAAGCCGCATAGGAGTATATTTCATGGTTATATTTGGACGTTTTTAATCGCACAAAGTTCAGGAACAGAGGAATAATTTCACAATTATGAAACCAAAAACACATTGTCAATCTTACAGCATTTATACCTCTAGATATTAATTCATAAATGTTGATGTTTAGTGCTAGAGAACAATAGTCACAGAAATACAATTTAGTACATACTATACGTTTATGCTAAAGAGAATTTATACAAAAAGAAAGGTGAATATAGAATATGCACGTTCTTCTTCCTCAAATTCTTCGAAGAGAGGCCAACCTCTTCTCAAGTTCCTCAACATCCGCAGAGTCAGAACTGCATTAAAACAGAAGAATTGTTACATATTATTCTAAGTAGTTCAGAATTCAACTCGTATTGCCACAAAATCAAACAGAAAGAACATAACAAAACATTTGACAAGGAGAAGATAAAAAGCCATCTGTATAAACTTCCTGTTCTAAAAGAATATATTATTTTCCGATAGTTCTGACCACGCCAAAAACATATTATACAAGGAAGAACTAAAACGAACCTTCTAGATCGGCTCAGTACATGCATCAATACAATGTTCATAGTCAGCAGTTGGTCAAAGTAGCAAATACAATGTCCATCATGATCAGACGCAACAGGAGTATAATCAGAGAACACAAAGAATGTATCCACAAGAATACTATGCCTATATAGTTGAGAATAGACTCTGACAGTTTGATATGGAAATGCAGAAAAAATGTAGCTCGACACATGTAGACACACAATCCAACATAAGTATATCAGATAATACATGTCTGACATGATATAAAAACAGTTTCGACGTACCTAGGGGGAGCAACATTTTCAACTTTCTTCGATGCAATTCGACCTTTTGGAGCTGAAGATAGCTGCCAAAATAGAAAACAATAATGAATAAACCAGCTTGCAAACTAAAGATGAGAAAAACAACTGATGGCTCAACTATCCTTATCAACAACCTACCTGCGAAGCAATGTCAACACCAATCTCATCCAGCACCTAACAAATGAAAATCCAAATTAGAAAAGTTGACCAGAAAATACAATTAGGAAACAGACAAACGGCATGATGAAAAATGAGTATTGAACCTGGTTTGTAAGCTCCTCAGTTTCTTCTTCAGCTTCATCTTTATCCAAAGTTTCATCAATGGACTCTGACATCATCTCAATCTGAAAAAATCAGATATTTTTATCAGTATGCATAGGCTGAACTTCACCAAGCTAAAATATTTTGCTTAGTTGCCTTGAAGAAACTGCATTTGTCAATAATGTAAAGTTCACTTGGAAGGATGAATGTGCTTACTGTCATGTCCAACTGTGATGACTGCTTCTGGAATTCTCTGATCACTTTAACTTGTTTCGCAGGTGCCATTTGCTGAGAAGTAAACACACAAAGAACAAACCAATTAGACGGAATTACACCTTGATTAGCTTGTGGAGCACAGAACCTAAATGATAGCACAACGGCAAACAAAATGGAGGAGAAAAGATGTAGGTGACAAATATTTCACTTTCATATGTTTTGTATTTCACTTTAATATGTTTGAACGATTTAAGAAGAAAAGAGGAAAAGAAACTCGCTACCAGCAAATAATCAGTACCTTGTTCATGGCAGTCATCGCTTTAGTTGCACCTTTCATTCCAGTAGACATAGAGGTGCTAGCATACAGTGCCTACAGAAGAGAAAGGAAGCCACGTATAAGATCCACCAAAAAATTTCAATTGCTTGGTCATAAACAATAGTTATCTGGAGAAAAGATTTGACCTGTGTATGAGTTGCTACACCCCTAATCTGAGCACGACTACCTTGCAAATTTACAATTTGTTGCCGCAGTCGCACAAGTTGACGAGCTAGAATTTTAGTGGCGGCCTGACAAGTCAAAATGCGTGAGCAAGATTTACTTTGAGGAAAAAGAAATGGCTGATGTGCAGATTACGTCGGATGAATGAGTTATTTGCTCATCCCTTCTTAAAAAAATGCCATTCATTTGACATCAAAGAGTTTGAAAAGATAATTCCACAGCGGTTGAGCACGCTACATAAAAAGAACTACCTGAATCACATAGTATAACGTTCATGTTACCACAAAAGCTGCAACTGAATCAACTCCTAAATGAATAACTACACCTCGAATTTAATTAGTCTTGATTCAAACTCAAAGTCCTATTGAGCTCGAATAGAAAAAAAAATTAAAAAGAGGGCTCTAATAAATTTTGATCTTGAATATGAAAAGGAGATGCTTGGGTAGAGAAAGCTAGCTAACATGGCTCACACCCTCATACAAGTATTTTTTTAAATTTATATAGGATTCGTACACGTATACAAATTCTGTGGATTATTTGCTGGTGTGAGAATAAACCTTAAGAATTTGAAATTAGTTAAACAATTGTCAGGCTCTAGTCAGTTAAACTTTTGTTGTGCTCGAACTCTAGCTCGAGCTCTAATCAAGTCAATACCTTATTTGACTCGGTTCAATTCAATGCAGACATAAACCATATATATGTCTTTCAAATTCTGATACTTTCCTGTCAAATAATATCTTTCTCTAAGGTTGTGACAAGATGTTTATGCATGAGTACTTACAAGATGTTTATGCATGAGTACTTACTTTAGAAGGATGATTTATGCAAGCTGAGAATGACTCAAGACTATGTACATACAAATTAACTCTAGTCTAATCAGTGTTTTAGTTATCTTAAACTGTTCAAATATAATGTGATAAATAATAGAACTTATTTGCTAGTGGGTTCATGGAGTCTAACATAGGACTTGGTCTAATTACATAAAAATTAACTCTAGTCTAATCAGTGTTTTAGTTATCTTAAACTGTTCAAATATAATGTGATAAATAATAGAACTTATTTGCTAGTGGGTTCATGGAGTCTAACATAAATTCAAATGCTTTTCAGTAGAGTAATATAGAATTTCTTTCAGAACTATTTTAAGTTTGTTTGAAAGAACTCAAGCTTTAAGCTGTGAAGCAGCCTGGGAGATCTAAGCGTAATCAATCAAGCATTTCCTTTCAGCATTTCTTTCTGTTGCTAAACTCTGACTGTTTATTAGCTCCCCCAAAAAAGCTAATCTTAGTCATTTTCAAGCATATATCATGCTAAAACATTCTCTAAGCCACATTACCCATCTTAAAACACTTTGAGCTCAAGAAACTGCTTCCCACTGTCCTACATCAAAAAAATCTTTAGTGTATTATGCCATGCCTAAAGGCCTTCTCACAACGGAAACATTCTAAAGCCCATTACCCGCCATAAAACACCTTAAACTCTAGAAACAGCTGCTTATCTGTCCTACTCAAACATATGCTTCAATGTACATGATCATGCTTCAAAGTACATCATACTTCCTCCTGAATGTTGATAGAATATCTCTCTAATATCTAACTCTTGTATGCTTGGAAGATTAGGTAAATTCACATTAACTAGCCGGGTAGAATCAGGTTGACGTGCTTTTGATCAGAATAACACCACACATTATACCAAAAGAAATAAGAGGCTGCAAAAAGCACGCAGTTTCTAGTGCAAATAAGCACCCATGGAAACCAGTATCAATATGATCACGATTCCAAGTGCGGTGGTAGTAACAAAAAATAAGTTTAATGAACAAACACTTGCCTCGTTTCCTGTTTTGGCTGTTTTCTTGATCTCTGCAACTAACTTTTTCTCCTACAAGATGGTAAAATAAGAATTACATAAGTTAATAAATAAGAAGATAACTAACACAGAAGAAAAAGATCGGGTACTGTAACAATACTCTGAACATTTTCTTGACCATAAAATTGGCAAGAATACTCTGAACTAACTGAACAAACAACACTTGCATCATGTCTATGAACATTTTTCTAGTAACTTACCTCCATCTGTAAAGATGAAATCTCCCGCTCAATGCCTAAAAAAGTTAAACACGAACAAAGAAATGAATTGATGAAAAGTACAACAGCACCAAATAAGGAATGAGAAAGACAATACAAAGTGAAAAAACGAAGTGAAATATACTAAACTTGCACACCAATTATCATATTCCAACGCTCTATAACAACACAAAAGATAACATGGAATACAAAGTTATCTTCTCGTTTACCAAAAATAAGCTGATAACAGCTAAGTAAAAAGTACGAATGACATCCAACTATGACACATCCTCGACAAGGATAATTTTTTCCAAACACTGTTTAATGCTTTTGGTGTTATCCAACTCCTTGCTTATGCAGCAAATGACAGTGACACGCAATTTACTAGAATAGCATAACAACGATCATATCCCAAATCTTTATCAAACTCCTTGCTTATGCAAACGACAGTGACACGCAATTTACTAGAATAGCATAACAACGATCATATCCCAAATCTTTATCAACAGTCCAAAATATAAAACCTGAAATATGCAATTTGTTTTCTCATTTAGCAAAATAGCTGACACTGATGGTTTTAGTCAAAAATAAGAACGACACCCAAAACTGAGACAGACATCTTCGACACAGTTTATTTTCAATAGTATTAAATGCTTTTGGCTTGTCCACCCCCTTGCTTATTTCTGTTAAAAAACCAACTACTGATGGTTTTCAACAGTAGTAATGAAAAGAACCAATAAAACTTATAAGTAGTTGAGTTGAGACACTTGGTCACTTGCAAAGGAAATAAGTACATCTAGCTTTTAGCCAATATAGCAATTCTTCCAACTCTGCCAATGATTGTCCAAGCAAAGCAGATTAGATGGTTAGAGTAAATTATATTGAGCTTGCCTATCATTTGCAATGCACCTGAACTACGGTTTAGTCCCCAAAACTAATTTGACAATTTTCCTAATATATCATACTATCATATTATGAAGCACCATTGTCATACAGAATTATAATACCAGATATTACATGATTTTGGTTATCTAATTACTAACGAACCTTCTCAACCAGTATTATATCTCACTCACCTCTTTTACCATAACATTTTGAAGGATCACTCATCCTTTTTAATTCTTATTGCAAAGGCACAACAATTCTTATTGGGTTTTGCTTTTGTTGAATACCTTACATCATTACAATCAAATTGCTTGAGTTTACCCGAAACCTTCAATATGCTTAAGTACTTCTCTTTCCCAATATAAAAGACATAAGAATTTCTGCCAAGCGTGATCCTTTTGTTCCTCTTTGCTGGAACATTTATTCCTAGACCTCCAAACAAATTAAGCATCTCTTGCTCAACACATTGGAGAATTAGACTGTTCTAATGTAAAGAGCATAGTGTTTGAAGTACATCTAAAATCAAAACAAGAGGAATATAACCAAATGGCATCCCTATCAAAGTCAGCCAGTGCAATTGGGATCAGGAATCAGGAATCAGCATCTATTATTTCTAAATTTGAAAAAAATGCCTTCAAAATTTCATTAAGTCAAAAGTTGTCTTTAATCAAAACAAAACTCAATGAAAATAGAAGCCCAAGACAGTAATGGTACCTCTGGTAGCAACAGCCATTTCCCTTTTGCTGGTCCTTAATGCTTCTGTTAATCAATTACAAAATTTTCACCATAGATCATCACTCAAAACAAAGAATAAAACAATTAAAAAATGTGATAAGAAACAAGCTAAAGTCCCTATAGTAAGCTGAAGGAAAATTAATAGCGAAAATGGGATTAGAGAAAAAGGGGGGAAAGATCTTACCTTTGGGTGAAGTCTTCTTCTTGAAAATGTTGTTCAACTTTTCCATTTTCTTTTACAAAAATTAATCTGATGGAAAAAAAAAGGGTGGAAGAAGCCCTAAAATTTTCTTGAAATGGGAAAAGAACCCTAATTTTTGTTGAAAAAGACCTGAATCATGAAAATGGCCGATCAAAATGTGTTCTTTTTTCTTTTTCCTTTTTGGATTTTTTTAAAGAGGAAGGGAGTGAAGAAGAGCAGAGAGTGGCAAATGGTAGCGGCCGCCTACAGAACTTCTAGTGGAGCGTGCAGTGACTTCTGTTCTTTTCCCACATAATACTATGATTTTATCTAACGGCCAGCAAATAAGTAGCCGTTGTACAGGTTGAAATGACCAAGCTACCCCTTCTCATGTTTGCCCTCACAAAAGGTCAAAAGACCATATTGTCCTTTTGGTTGTTTGACACTGTTTTGAGCTTGGGTACGAGGAAAATACGTGTCCGCTCTGGGTGTTTGGCACGAAAGAAAATGTTTTCATAGAAAATGAATGGTTTTATCACTTATTTTCTCTTGTTTGGTTGGTGAGTGAAATTCTTTTTCCGGAAAGTATTTTTTAGTATTTGATTAGAGAGTAGAAAATATTTTTTTTATGCTAATCCCTCATCCTCTTCCCCCAAGTCTCTATGTTAGGGGTGGACATCGGTCGGTTCGGTTCGGTTGTGAATATTATCGGTTTAACATATTGTGAGCACGTGATTTTTGCCTCGTTTAAATTACTCCTATAGAATTCATTAAAATTAGGATTTTTCTTTTTTGTTTGAATTTTAGGGAATTAATTGCATGATTTTGTGATTGTTTGCATTTTTGTGCATTTTTAATTGATATAACTCATGAAAATACAAAAATAGCATACTTACGTTTAAGACCCTCTAGCAAAAGAATTAAAGAAAGGTCTGTCTTGGGCCAGTCTTCAAATAAATCACCAGCCCAAGCCAAACCCCCATCACCCTAATCCGAGCCCCAAGCCCAAACCCACGCACCCTGACCCGGTCCGGCTCCCCAGCCATCGAAACGACGTCGTTTTGATTTAAACAAATCCTAGCCGTCTATGTTTTGTTGATCCAACGGAACGCAACTCACCTATCCCAGATATATAATTGTCCAAAGACGCCCCTACCCCTCTCCGTCGTCTCTCTCAAACCCCCCTTTCAAAACCCTAGAGAAGCCAGCCGCCCTAATATTCTCCGTCAATTCCGCCGGCGGCGATGACAAAAACTACGCCGATGGCTCCCAAATTCACACCATACCTTCTCCTCCTCCTCCTCCTTCCAAATCTAAGTTCACTTTTCTTCAAAACTCGCCCAAACCCCTCAAATCTTCGTTTGAAGTCATGAACCCTAGCCGCCGCCTTTGTTTTCCGGTGGCGGTGCCGCCTCCAAACCACTTCAAAACAATACCCCATGCCCCTGTGCCTCCCTCACGCTTAATATGTCACTAGTTTCATTCGAAACTGTCCAGAATCATTCAAATCGTAAATCTGAGTTCGAGCTTCAGCAGTTCAATTAATCGACCCAAGCCTTTGTTCTTCGCGATTTAGGAGTTGATTCACTACAAATTGATGCTGTTCGTTCGTTCTTAACGGAGAATAAGTGATTAGCATCAATTTCATGTGAATCAGAACATCAAGAGGAGTTTCAAGTTTAATCAGTGAGTGTTCTTAAATTTCTTTGTTTATCTGTAAATGTTCCCTTTTAAGCATTAGCCTTCTGATTTTGTTTTGCTTTCATCCGTCTTTGGTATTTCTTCTATTTTTAGGATCGATGTAGGGTCTGATTTGTTTTGATTACGTTTTTTGTCATTTGATTTGATTTCAACCGTATGATTCCATGTTTAACAACTGCACATTTTTTTTTGATTTTGATATTCTTCGCAGTGTAGTTGCAGCTCTATTTGTTCGATTTTAGCTATTAGTTTACTGGTTTTATTAGTTTAATAATAAATTTCGCCTTAGGATGTTGGTTCAATTAGAATTGATTCTGATTATAGCTGATCACTGCAGCTCCTTGGTTAATTAACCAGGGGCTGGTTTTAGTTTAACTAGGTTAGTAGTTCTAAGTCAAATTAGGGGCAATATAGGTAATTCAATAAGAGAAATCCTGCAAGTAACCAAATTGGAAACCCCTAGAACATTCTGATGGGGTTCCAATTAGAATTTTAGGAACTTAGTAGTGTAACTTGGGCCACAAGCCAATAAATAAGGGACTAATTAGCTAAAATTTGAAAATAAAAGAGGGACTTAGGTGTATATGAAAATCTGAAGGATGCCCTAAGTTTTGCCTATAAAAAGGCATGCTTATTGCCTTGTTTCACAAGTTTTCAGCCTCTAAAAACTCCCCCCAAAACGTTTCTATAAGCTAGAGAATACTGAAAATTCAAAATTCAAAATCCCAAAACCAAAATTTGAAATCTGAAAGTTTGAGAGTCTAAAAGCCTGAAAAGCTACTGAAAAATTCAAAAAAAAAAAATTCTGCAGAAGTTGAGAGTTTAGATACATAGACATTAGATCTTAGAGAAGAGAAAAATCCGGAAAAATCAACACAAAAAGGGTTTAGGAATCCAGCAGAATTACAGTTTGCTTTCAACTGGTTGAGAAATGTTTAAAGTTGTCCATTGAAGTTTGGTGTTGGATCCAGCTGGGTTACTATTCAATTAGTTTGAATTTCAAAGCATTTCGAGTCACTAGCTGGGTTACTATTTGCTGCTGATTTCCTCTACTACTTGCTGATACTTCTGCTCTTTTTTTTGCTTCAATTTCCAGGTATTTGCCTAATCTTCGAATAGCTAGAGGTTATGGACATATGTAGTTGAATCTGGTTCGAACGAAAGGCTGTTCCAAGCTTGATTGCATTTTTTGATTCCTTGTCTTGTTCACTGGATTTATATTAAGAAACGTAATCCTATATGTTGTTTCAGTTTACTGATTTATGCACTTGAAGTGTCACATTGTTCAGTTAGCCAATAGTAAAAGCAACAGGCATGCGAATTTGACATTATACAACATGTTTGCTGTGGACTGTATTATTCCTTTAGTCGAATCCTGTTTTAAGTAGTTAAATCATGTATAATTAAATTAGGATTGCTGTAAGAATAACTTTGGATTAATTAGTTGGATTGAGGGTAGTGTAGAACGTGTATTAAATCTGGAAGCAGGCCCATTAGATTCAATTGCTCAAATTTCATTTTAGTCTACTAATGTACCTCCGGTATCCTGGGCCGAAACACATGGGCTGTCCTTTTAGAAATATGTTTCAATTGGTTTAGTTGCTTTAAAATGTGTAGTTATTTTAAAATCGGATCATGAGCATGTTTAGTTGTTTGGTTGTTTAACATATTTTAGTTATTTTAAATCATTTCAGTTGCTGCGTTTGTTTTAATTGCTTTAATTGTGTTAAATAGTTTTAGCTTCTGAAGGAAATCGTTACTGCGATAACTCCAAACTCAAAAGAGGATAGACTAAATTCAGAATCAGACTGTTATACTTGTGCCAACAATAGGCTGTCCAGGTGAGTGAATTGGGCCTGTTTAGAGGCCCAAAATATTAATCAGCCCTATAGTTAAGGCTTTATACGCAGGCAACTTCAGGAAATTAAAAGTTGAATATTGGGCCTCTCTTTCAGGCCCAGTTGTGTCACTTTAGTCTTGTATTTAGTTGCTAGATTTTAAACTCATAGCCCATATCTAGTCTTTATGACCTTAATCAATTAGTAAGATCTTTTTTAAAATAATCCTAAGAGGGCCATCTTAGATAACCCAATAGTCTATGACCCTTCAAGCTTTAGTCAAATATCCTTTAAAAATGAAATTGAGGTGCGGTGCGCCAAATAAAAATCACAAAATTGCGTGGCCCTCTTTAATTACTTCCATTAAAATATTTAGAAATCGGGACGTGCCATTTAGCAAATTTTCATGGCCTCCCGCAAAGTTATCAACACGTTAGTCGCTTTAGGCGCGTATTTTAATAATCTATTTTCCTAAGTTCGGGTGCACATTTATGTGACCCAAATCCAAATCTCAATGAAGTCGGAATGTGTCAAAAATCGCGGGTGCATTTATGTGACGTGGTTCGAGACGCGTTTTCACGACGTTGTAATTCTCTTTAAAATATAATAATAAAAGCGGTTTAAAGTTAAAAAGCACTTAAGTTAAAACATATATTAAAATCAGATTTTTATCCAATTATAATAATTTAAGCGACCGTGTTAGAACCACGGGATCCGAGGGTGCCTAACACCTTCCCTCGGGTCAAAAAAATTCCTTATTCAGAATTTTTGGTTCGCAGACTCCACTCGGGAAGTCGAAAATTTTCCTCGATTTGGGATTCAAGTTAAACTGGTGACTTGGGACACCAAAAGCCAAACCTATCCCAAGTGGCAACTCTGAAACAAATAAATAATCCTATTTCGAATAATGTCACTTTAAATGGAAACACTCCCTTATACATTATCCTTCGGGGTAGGTGTGTAAAAAAGGAGGTGTGACAGCTCTGGCGACCCTGCTGGGGATGCGAACCCAGAATTTTGATTCAGGGTTCAAGAATTCGAGCTTAGTATAATTGTTATATTTGGCTTTATATGATCTTTCTACATGTTCCGTGCTATATGTGCTAAATGTTTTACCGCTTTGATATTATCTGAATTGTATATATAAAATTGTTACGAAACCCTTCTCTTCTCATCTCCGGGGATGTGCTCACTGGTTGAGACTCTCTATTCTGTTAGTGTCAATACCTTAAAATAAGAAAGAGGCCGGACAAGTTACTAAGCCGGATGGCCTTTTGGTTCCCGGTACGTAGCCCCCTCCTCGACTCGAGTTGTCCGCTCGAGTACACAGTCTAGAACACATACTCAGGTTTTGAACCTAGAATAACTCGACCTCATGCCGGATCCCTAGTAGGACGTTTGTTTGCATCATGTGCATTTGACTTAGGGGACTCAACACAGGGGTTGGGTCCGTCTAGGACAGGTGACCGGAAATGAATTGACCATCCTGATGCATCTTACGTGCTATTTGCGCATTTATTTGCTCGGCTTTGCATGTTGATCGGCTTGACTAAATGAGTGAAAATTGAGAAAAATAAGCAGTGTTAGGACTAAGTGAGGGTGACCATTTGAGAAAAAACCAATGCCCAAATAGTACCGAAATGCTGCCGGATTTTTGAAAAATAAAAATGGAAAAGAGAAAAAATATTTGAAAGACAAACGAGAAAAACATAGAAAGAAAAATTGTTGTCCAAAATACTTTTTGGCATATCTGCCCGAACTATGCTGGTTTGATT